TTCGCCAAATACCTAAAATTTAGAAAAAAATATTTTTTTTTGAGACAAAAACACTTTTGAAGTTAGGAGAAACTTAGCCAAACAAGCTATAGCCTCTAAATGTATTTAATGAGCAAGCTTTAGATTTTACTAACGCATTTTAAAGGCATGCGGGGCTAGATCCGATACCAATAATATAAGTGAGCTGTCAAAATATGACTCAATTTTTTTTGGTTCTCACTAAAACAATTTTTTTTTTCAAAAGTCTATTTAATTCCAAAAAGCGACTATCCTAATATTCTTACTTAATTAATGATTTTCCAGAAAGCAAATCCGTTACGTATTAATTAAAAAGGAAGATCAAGATTAATTTCTCCAAGATCAAAGTAAAACGTCCTTAAACACCAAAAACAAATTAAACCTAACATTTTCAAGAACTAAATTTGTCAAAAAAATCTTCTTAAAAGCTAATCCAACAGCTACTTTTTCTCAAAACAAGACTTACAGAAACTAAACAAAATCAAATTAAATACCACTTTCTGTTCACTCTTCAGATTCGTCAGATGGAACATCTAATGGAGTGTGGGCAAGAGATCTGGGTTGGCGTTGAATGTTTTTTTTTTACCATGCCAAGTTCAGAGGCGGATTAAAAATATAAGTTAGATGAGTTTAAACTTCTTAGTATTTAATTCAATGTATATTTAAAGTGATGGGTTTAACAGCTATTTGTTATAGTTTATACCGATAATTTTTTTTTTTTACATAAAAAATATTAGGTTCAAATGAATCCAACACTGAATCCGCCTCCAGCCAAACCTGTTGAAGAAGCATCCAAAGGGTCCACTTTGCTGTATTGTTATTAATAATATGTCCATTAAAGAGAACCAGTTGTCTGAGAAACCACAATGGCATGTGGATGCATTTCTGTACACATGCTCTGGTCTTCCAATATCCTACTATATTTATTTCCCCCCATTGATTCTCATATCGATTCTTTGGAATGTTTCTCTAATGGGCTTTAGGGGTCTACTTGATAGTCTTATTCTCTAATTTTTTCATGACAATGACATAAAAAATTATTTTATCGAGTATTTATTACTTACATTATTATATGTGTTAAAACTTAAATAGATGAAAGGAAATTACTTAATACTTATTGTATTTTATTTTTTTATTGAGATTTGAATCATATTTCTTATTTATTCTCTCTCGCTCTTTTCTTTTTGATTTAATGATCCATATTCGAAAATTAGCTATTGTCTGATTAATTCGGATTTACATTAGGCCTACTATGGAATAAAGCGTTCTTTATCAAGTTTTTCATTGTGATAACTCAAATGTTAAACTTCTAATTAAGAATGAAGCGGTTCAACTATTCCTTGGTGATGTTGATAACATTTTCGAAAGTTCAAAATTTTTTAGAATCAGCAAATTGGTCATTTTTTCTAGACATGCTCAAGATATATTAAAGGTTTGTTTTTGGATACTATAGGTTTTTGGACAAAACTTTACCCTCCTTACGCACTTATTTTTTTTTGATTAAAACCGTATATGCTAGCTGAACAAAAATAGTGTATTTTAAACACGTTAAAAATTGATGTGTAAAAAAGGTTGTCCTTGAAACGAAGGTATGTCAAAAAAAAATTGCGTATAAGTTAGGAAGGCAAAGCATATATTAAACCAAATTCAAAATTTGTACTTACAGTCGAACATGTGTGTGTATAAATCACCCTTGTCATACTACCCTTCTCTCTCATTTGTCTCAAATCCCCGTGAAATAACCTTAAAACAGTAAAAAGTTGAGACATCACAATCATCTCCATCATTATTACATTTTCTTAACTTGTTTACAAAATTACTGTCAAACTAGAGGCTCATTTAAGCTAAAAGAACCAGTTTTGAGTAAGATTACACATAAAAACCACCACCGTTACCCCTTGTGGGTCCCCCTTCATTACCACCACCGACTTGGGGCCCACTTGTATTACCACAGTCCCACACCCCTTACTCTTTGATCATCAAAGATCCATCAAACTGATCTGTGTCCCTTATACATTACGCGTTGAACTTTCAACACACACACACACTAACTTTCTCTCTCTCTCTCTCTTACTGTCTTTGTCTGATCCCTTGTTATTCAACTGCCCGTGTGATTGATTCTCTGATCCACCCCACTTACAGCTCAACATTGAAGTGATATCTAGAGAGAGCGAGAGGAAAATCCATTTTCCATATTAACTTGGGTTTTTTTTCTCTCATTCAAGAAAAGAATCTAAACCCACTACCCTAAAGACTATTTTTTTTTATCCCACATACATTTTTTTCCTATAATAAATAGTCCCTATATTTTTGTACACCCAATTCTTTATAGTACTAATAATATAATGTGTATGTATCTGTGTGTTTGTACATCATTTTCAGTCATTCTTTAATTAATGGGTGTTCAAGAACAGTAGAAGAAAGAGGAGAAATAAAAGGCTTTTGCTTTTTCTTGAATGTGTAATGTAATGAGGTCTTGTTGAGTGATTTCTTAGTGTATTATTTGGGTAATGTTTTGTGTGTAAAAGGTGTTTTGAAGTTGAGATTTGGGAGTTGAAATGGATACTAAAGGGAGGCTTATAGCTGGTTCACATAATAGGAATGAGTTTGTTCTCATCAATGCTGATGAAGTTGGAAGAGTAAGTGCTTTCAAGATCCCAACTTTCTTAAATTTTGTTCTATTTTTAGCTCATTTGTAGCTTTATCTTGAGTTGTTTGAAGAGATTTGAGGATTTGGTGCTCTAAAAATGGCTTTTTGAGGTTCATTTTTGTGTCGGTGGCAATGTTCTTGACTGCATTTGTCCTTTTTGAAGTTGCCTATTTGCTCATTTCCCTTTTTCTTGTGCAAAAAATGTGATCTTTAGAGAATTAAAGTTCCAAGTTTCCCTAGTATCAGGCAATTAACTTTCCAAAATTGGATCTTTCAGCTCATTTCAATAAAGCTACATTAATTTCCTGCTAGCTAAAGCCTTCTTTATTGCATAATTTGGGCAAATTTTTTTTTGTGTCCTAGGTTTTTTTTTGCTGGCTAATAGATTATTAGTATTAATTTGTTAAGTATGGATATAGATTCTAAGCATAGAACTTCGTGATCTGATGAGTTAAATCTTTATTACGGTGGCTTGATTGCAGGTAACTTCTGTAAAAGAATTAAGTGGGCAGATTTGCCAGATTTGTGGAGATGAGATTGAGATTACAGTAGATGAGGAGCCATTTGTTGCTTGCAATGAATGTGCATTCCCTGTTTGCAGACCCTGCTATGAGTATGAAAGGAGAGAGGGGAATCAAGCTTGCCCTCAATGCAAAACACGGTACAAGCGTATCAAAGGAAGTCCCCGAGTTGAAGGGGATGATGAAGAAGATGAATTTGATGATTTGGACAATGAGTTTGACCCTCAACAAACTGCTGAGGCTGCCCTTTCAGCTCGTCTTAGCATTGGTCGGGGCCATCCTAATGCTTCCGGGACTGCTACCCCTTCGGAGATGGATCCTGCTGCCCTTGGCACTGAGATCCCTCTTCTTACTTATGGTCAAGAGGTAATGAACTCAACATTTGTCATCTTGGTGTTCATACTTTGTTAGATTTTAGCTAAACAATTAGGATATTGTTTTGTAGGATGATACAATTTCAGCTGACAAGCATGCTCTTATCATCCCACCGTTTATGAGTCGTGGAAAGAAAGTTCATCCAGTTTCGGATTCTTCCATGTCTTGTAAGTTTATCAGAATCTTTTATTATAATAATTCTTCGATCAATTTGTGAACTAGAGGCTTACTATGACCGCTCTTTGCAGTGCCTCCTCGACCTATGGATCCTAAGAAAGATCTGGCGGTTTACGGGTATGGTAGTGTTGCATGGAAGGAGAGAATGGAGGATTGGAAGAAAAAACAAAATGATAAATTACAGATGGTTAAGCATGAAGGAGGTGGTGGTTACGGTGACGGAGATGAGCTGGATCCTGATCTGCCCAAGTAAGTGTTTTCTTTCCTTTTCTTTTCTCAATCTCTTAAGTGAGCATTGATGATGATATGATTTGCTTGTTGTATTCTTGGCAATGGTAATTTGACTTAAGATTTCTAGCAAGTGCAGACATCTTATAGCAGTTTGAGTGATTATGTGCTAAAGAAAATTAGGTGTTGTTGTTGTTACTTCAGTATGAGGCCAAAATCTTTGAGGTCCTACATGTGGAGACAGCCTGTTTCTTAAGTCATGGAATTTGGAGCATTTCAGACGGCTTCTTAGTCTCTATCCAAGTTTTGGAGTGTTCCAAAATTAGCTAATATTATCATAATTTCACTGAGTACATAAATGAAAATAGCAGCTGTTTTGAGTGGGGATAAAATTTAAAAAATAACTGAGCTCCCTACTTAATTGTTGCTTTTCTCTTTTGAGTTGGATTGGTTTGAGAACTAATATGTACTTGCTTATTCATCAAATCGAATCTCCACGCTGTCTAAGCAGCTTTGACTTTTTTTTCTCCAAAGATGCTTAATGACAAGAGGAACTTGTCAATGGGATCAGTTCTGCTATGTCCCATCCTTGTGGGAGGACCATGGGATTTTTTGGACAAAGAATTAAGCAGGCACATTTAGTAATTAAGGGGCTTTAATCAAAAGCTATAAAGCGGATGCAAGTCGTACTTAGCCAGTAAAAAATGGAAAACAAAAAATGGAGGAATGTTGTAGGATTAGTCAGGATCTCGGGTGTTATTTTTGGGCACAAACCATTTCTTTTGCAGAGTTTTATTTCAATTTTATTTTTTAGTTAGATTAGCAAGGAGGAAAAAAAGGAAAAGAAATGGAAAGCAAAATATGCAAATATAGATTCTATCATTCTACTACTTGGGCTGCCCGCTTGCCCTGATTGGTTGTTCTTTTGTTTTTTGTTTTTGGTGGGGGGGGGGGGGGGGGGGGGGGGAGGTGGCAGTAAAATATTATTAGAAACAAATTCTGCTAGTTTGATACTCTCTTTTATTTAACAGAGACTAGTAAGGGAGTTCAAATCATTATGTATGGTTCATATGATGCTATCCTTCTAAAAAAAAACAATGGTTCATATGATGCTGTAAAAATTAGTAAAATCTGGAATCTAATGTATACCACTAATAAGGCACCCAAGAGTATGGCCTAATGGTCCATGAAGTGGGATAAAAGTCATGAGAGATCAGGATAAATGCTATGTGTTTTCTTTCCATTTGCCTAAGCCGTGGTGGCCAAAGCTATTCAGTATCTGTGCTGTCGGGTATAATATCTTAGAGAAATATAGATTCACTATCCATTGGAGTCCTCTGAAGTAGGCACAAAGCACATNGTCTAGCAAGCTAAGCCCATACAGATTGATGATTTTACTTCGACTTGCAATTCTTGGGCTCTTTTTCCACTATAGAATAATGCATCCCGTCCATGATGCTTATGGATTGTGGCTGGTGTCTATTATATGTGAAATATGGTTTGCCGTATCCTGGATATTTGATCAGTTCCCCAAATGGTTACCTATTAAGCGAGAGACGTACCTAGATAGGCTATCACTAAGGTATACATTTTCTTATGACATTCAACGTATAATTTAGTCTACATCTTATGTCTATGTACACATCAATATCTATTACTCTTACCACTCCATTGTGTCCTAAGCTATTCTCTTCCATATATTTTTCTCAGGTATGAGAAAGAAGGGAAGCCTTCTGAGTTAGCCCATATCGACGTTTTTGTTAGTACTGTGGATCCGTTGAAAGAGCCTCCACTTATTACTGCAAATACTGTTCTCTCCATTCTTGCTGTGGATTATCCGGTGGACAAGGTTGCATGCTATGTCTCTGATGATGGTGCCGCCATGCTTACTTTTGAGGCACTATCTGAGACATCCGAGTTTGCAAGGAAATGGGTCCCGTTCTGCAAGAAATTCAGCATAGAGCCTCGAGCCCCCGAGTGGTATTTTGCTCAGAAGGTTGATTATTTGAAGAACAAAGTAAATCCATCATTTGTGAGGGAACGCCGTGCCATGAAGGTGTGCAGTTTATTCAAATTTTCATTCTGCATCCCCGATTTCCCAGGTGTGTTGATATGATTGTTAATAACTATTGCTGAAGACATAAACTTGGTACATTTTTGGCGCAGAGAGACTATGAAGAATTTAAGGTTCGAATAAATGGATTGGTTTCCATGGCACAAAAGGTTCCTGAGGATGGTTGGACCATGCAAGATGGAACCCCTTGGCCGGGGAATAATGTCAGGGATCACCCCGGGATGATCCAGGTTTTGATTTTGCTCTCTTTCATACTCCAAATTTACGATGTTAAAATTGTGAATTAACCTGTTTCATTTCTGTACAAAGGTCTTCCTGGGTCATGATGGTGTCCGTGATATTGAAGGGAAGGTTCTGCCTCGCCTTGTTTATGTTTCTCGTGAGAAGAGGCCAGGGTTTGATCACCACAAAAAGGCCGGTGCCATGAATGCTTTGGTAAGTCATCTTCCATCTAAAAGTACAGCGTTTGACTTAATCTAGTGGCTATTGACCCGCTTTATAAAATGTGATTGTAGATGCGGGTGTCGGCGGTCATCTCAAATGCTCCTTATTTACTCAACGTGGATTGTGATCACTATATAAATAACAGTAAGGCACTGCGAGAAGCTATGTGCTTTATGATGGACCCCACTTCAGGAAAGAAAATATGCTATGTACAATTTCCTCAAAGATTTGATGGCATTGATCGACATGATAGATACTCAAACCGCAATGTGGTCTTCTTTGATGTGCGTAAGAATGCCTTCTTTAGTTATTTATGACTTATGTAATTTTGCACAGATCCATATCTTGTTATCTGTTTTTGCTTGTGCATATGGATATGATATGCACCCTCAGCTACCTTACTGAAGATAATTTTATGCTTTTTGGNAATGCCTTCTTTGGCTATTTATTACTTATGTAATTTTGCACAGATCCATATCTTGTTATCTCTTTTTGCTTGTGCATATGGCTATGATATGCACCCTCAGCTACATTACTGAAGATAATTTTATGCTTTTTGGGAACAGATAAACATGAAAGGACTTGATGGGATCCAGGGTCCAATTTATGTGGGAACTGGATGCGTCTTCAGGAGGCAAGCACTCTATGGATATGATGCTCCAAAGAAGGCAAAGCCTCCAGGAAAAACGTGCAATTGTTGGCCAAACTGGTGTTGCTTTTGTTGTAAATCTCGAAAGAAGCATAAGAAAGGGAAAACGAGCAAGGATAAAAAGAAGATTAAAGGCAAGGATGCTTCGACTCAGATTCATGCTCTTGAGAATATTGAGGAAGGAATTGAAGGTAAGAAAAAGGAACTTTGAGATCAACCGCTGACCAATATCTAGCCTAAAGTCTTAAATAGATAGTTGAATTTGGATTTATTTTCTACTTGCATATACATATATATATTCTTTACAGAATAATTTCCTCTTTTATCTTCCACAGCATGTTCTTCCCTTTCTTATGCTAGAGCTTTTTGAGATATAAATCTATGCTAACCAACTCATTTGATACAGGAATAGATAATGAAAAAGCATTACTCATGCCCCAAATAAAACTCGAAAAGAAATTTGGACAATCACCAGTATTTGTTGCTTCAACACTTTTAGAAGATGGCGGTGTTCCTCTAGGAGCAACCTCAGCATCTCTCCTGAAAGAAGCCATCCATGTTATTAGTTGTGGTTATGAAGACAAAACAGAGTGGGGTAAAGAGGTAAAAGAACTGCTTAGTTTCTTAAATTTGTTTTAAGCTCGAGAAGCGTTCTGCATTTAGTGGGCTCACTTGTTATACCATGTTTACCAGGTTGGATGGATTTATGGATCTGTTACTGAGGATATCTTAACTGGGTTCAAGATGCACTGCCATGGTTGGAGGTCTGTGTACTGCATGCCGAAAAGGCCTGCATTTAAGGGGTCAGCTCCTATCAATCTTTCAGATCGTCTGCATCAGGTTCTGCGGTGGGCCTTGGGATCTGTTGAGATTTTCTTTAGTAGACATTGTCCCATTTGGTATGGATATGGGTGTGGTCTGAAACCATTGGAGCGGTTTTCGTACGTAAATTCAGTTGTCTATCCATTGACTTCCATCCCTCTGATTGCATATTGTACATTGCCAGCATTCTGTTTGCTTACTGGGAAATTCATCGTTCCAGAGGTAAGGCTTCCCCTTCATTGTTTCCTTGTTATTATATTGGTCATGTTGCATCAACTGTTTATCTTAAGTTCTGTGTCACATAAACCTCTGTTCTGAAAATATCAATGCATATCGAATGTTTGAACTCCCTTAATTGATTTCTATCAACATAGTATCTAACGTGAAGTGCTATATTCCATTTGATGTGTGACATACACAAATTACTTAATCTCAAACTGGGAGAGTTCTTCAAGAAACAGCTGAAATGACAACCGTTGGCTGTTGTTCTGTTAATCTTATTAAGAAAACAAAAAAACATTTTCCTTCCCACCCCCCATATTCGCATGCTGTTCAGTCTGTCATTTAAACCATGATTCCAATTTCTGACGTCTGTGTATTGTGGCCACCTACTTGAAATTTCACTATCTTCAGTTCCTGTAAAATTTTAATGACAGGATAGAACCAAAATAAACGTCATAAACTCATCTAATGTATTTTTGCTGACTATTCTTTGTTGTCTGCAGCTTACCAACTACGCTAGCATTGTGTTCATGGCACTTTTTATATCAATTGCTGCGACTACTATTCTGGAGATAAGGTGGGGAGATGTTGGCATAGACGACATGTGGAGAAATGAGCAATTCTGGGTTATTGGTGGTGTCTCGTCCCACTTTTTTGCTCTTATCCAAGGTCTTCTTAAAGTTTTGGCTGGTGTCAACACAAATTTCACTGTCACATCAAAAGCAGCAGATGACGGGGAGTTTTCTGAGCTTTACCTCTTCAAGTGGACATCCTTGTTGATCGTTCCGATGACCTTGTTAATTATTAACATCATAGGAGTTGTAGTTGGAGTTTCAGATGCAATCAACAACGGATATGATTCGTGGGGTCCTTTATTCGGCAAGCTTTTCTTTGCCTTATGGGTCATTGTTCATTTGTACCCCTTCCTCAAAGGTTTGATGGGGAAACAAAGCAATGTTCCAACTATCATTGTTGTGTGGTCTATCCTTCTGGCTTCTATCCTTTCGTTGTTGTGGGTCCGAATCAATCCGTTCGTGTCAAGAGATGGACTCGTGTTAGAAGTATGTGGGTTGGACTGCGAGTAAGATCAAGAAATAGGACACGAAGTGTATATGAGAAGGAAAAGTTCAAGTGGGGGGAAGAAGTTCAATCCCCTAACACTATTGTTTTGATCATCAATGAATATGAGGAAGAGCTCTAGTGGTTTTGTATAGATTGAAAGGCAGGTAGCAGACATTGATATTTGTTTTGCAAAGTGTTTCTTGATTCTTTTTTGATACATTTTGGGATTTGTTGCTTGGGAGTTGGAAGGGGGAAGGGGTGGAGTTCCAATATTTGTAATCCCAACAGAAGATAAGATTAGTTGTCATATCCCCTTCTCAATAAGGGATATCACACGGAAATGTTTTTTCATCAGTAATTAAGGACTTTGTTCCACTGTTACCATTCTAAAGAAAGTGAAATTGGATTCTGGTGTTTTGTTCTATAACTATTGTATTTTTGTCATCATTTTGGATGCCTATATTCTTTTTAGCTGTAACATTTTCTCTTGCTATATATCATATTCGATGCTATGAACTGGTATATTTTTTTATTATTATTGGGTAACGATCCGTTTGCTAATGACTATGGTTTAGTGTAAACTTTGTAGAACTATAAAGATCATAGTAGAGGCCCTTGCAGTTCAATGTGAAGTACGGTGATTCTTGAATGTATCAGTTGTGGTGTAGCTGAATCTCTAAAAAATAGCTTCTTGTCAAAACATTCTTTAGCTTGCAGAACCTTTTCTGGAATGCATTTCTAATTTTATCATTTCATATCCAACATTGTAGAAGAAATCTATTAAGGGTATTAAAGATACCCTTTTCATTCTTTATGCCAAAGGTGCAGAATCACCTGCCTTGGTTAGTAATAGAGATACTGTTAGGAGCAAAGTATTAGATTTGAACCTCGTAAACTTCCTTTAGGCTACTAATTTTCCATTAAACTATTCTTTTTCATGCAATACCATTATTAAACTTTTAAAACACAATATCCCAATAAAGATTTCGTTGATGCTAATACTAATACAAAAAATTTAGATAACAATTAAAATAATATAAAATTAATTTGATTCCACAAATTCTGATTGCTTACTGTTATTTTAATTTCATTGAGGCTAATAGCCCGTTTGGCCAAGCTTCTGAAATCAGCTTATTTTGAGAAGTTTCTCAAAGGTACTTTTAAAAAAAAGTGATTTTGGTGAGAAATAGTTTGTGTTTGACTAATTAATTAGAAAAGCACTTTGAGCCGTAATTAATGTTTGGCCAAGCTTTTGACAACTGCTTCTAAGTGTATTTTTCTCTGCTTTTGGAGAGAAGCTATTTTTTTCTGGTTCTCCAAAACTGCTTCTGCTTCTCCTCAAAGACACTTTTTTTCCTTCCAAAAGCTTGGCCAAACACCTCAATTTTTGGTCAAAAGTGCTTTTGGCCAAAAAAAAAAAAAAAAACTTTTGGCCCAAAAAAAAAAAGCTTGGGCAAACAGGCTATAAGGCCAGTACATAAGTACAAGTGCTTATGTTATCATTTTGTTTGATAGATCATGTTGAAATTGTTGGATATAACAAGTTTAGGCTTTGAATCTAAAACGTGTCCAAGAACCAAGATACTTGATTTTAAGTAAGATCACATTTTTTCTATAGGATCGAAAATACAACTTTGCTTAAAAATTGTTCCTTGTACAAGCGGTTGGCCTAATTTGAAGCACATTTATGATTTTTTTTATTGACAAAGAAGTGTAATTCTCGCAGGCGCACGATATTGAGGCATTGTAATGTAGGTCAAGCTGAGAACTGACTTTTGTTTTTTTTCTTCTTAGCAGATTCCATTATTACGTAATTTTTTCCTGCCAATAAATTAGGCTTACTATGGTTATGGATTCAACAAATCAATCAATCATCCAAATGTAGTAGCAAAGCTTTGGTCCTTTTCCTTTGAAACTAGAAATCATCTACAGTCAAACCTCTAGTTTGTTCCAACTTTTTTTGGTTGCTACAGGAAAGTGATGTTATAGAGAAGATACATTCTAGTGTAGCATGAAAAGTGGTTCCAAAAATAAGCTGGCTTTTAAAATAAATGGTTGTTATATGACAGTGCAGTTATAAAGAGATGATGTGACTGTACCATTTTAATTACTTTGCTCTCTAAATATCAATGAGATTAAGACCTAGAGGTTTGAACCGCATATGCACCAAGGAATGTGTAAGTCAATAAAGTTATTCGTTATTAACATCAAGTGATTTTTGTATTTTGATGGATAACAAGTACTCAACTAATTAAACTGGCCCGAAAACTATCGGTATTAAAAATTACGCCAAATAAATTGGCCAGCAGACAAACAGATCAAGGTCCCATTTCCAGACACTATTTTTTTTTTTTCAAATTCAACCACATATTCTTTTAAAGTTTCAAAGTTCAATCCTGTTTTTTTTTTCTTTCAATTGAATAAAGGAAATAACAGACGAATTTAGTAGGAAAAAGGGAAAGTCAGAAATCTCGTGTGGAAAGTGCCGCTCACTGCACCCACCTTTAACCAGGCGATGCTGCGTTTGCACATATGCTAAAGATCTCATCCTTCTTTCCCTTTCTAAATTCACTACAAAGATATGATAACCACCCAATTTCTATTTAAAAAAAAGACCTAAATAATACTCACTGGTAATCAAAGAAAAAATGATATAACCAAAGGTAAAAAGATAAAACAAAGTAGTGTCTGTGATGGTAGAGAGGGAATTTATAGGAGGAGGCTGACGGCGATGTTGAAACACTTGTTATGTTTGCCCTAATGGGAGTCCTTTTTATAGTGATGAGATTTGCTCATCTTTCATCGGACGGTAGACGACCAATAGCCTATAAAACAAATTTTGGAGTTCTTTTTGAAATACTATAAGACCCACTAGTATTAGTACCCGTACGGATGCGCGAACATTAATCATGTTAAATATTTAAATTATTTGGATGGAATGTAAATAATTTTAAATTTTACACTTTCTCAGTAAATATAGATAATCATTGAATATTATATATGAAAAAAATTAACAATTTCTTCTATTTTTCTTTTTTTGATACCATTCTTGCCGGTGTCATTGGATCCTAAAAATAGTCAGGAAGCCAAATAATAACTCATATTTATGGAAAACAATCAAATGTTGAGATAATGAATGACTCTTTGGATAAGACTTAACTCTTTTACTTCTACTTGAACTCTTATTTGGTGTGTTGATATCCCTTAAAAAATATATTTCTTTCTTAAAATTTCAGTTTCTAAAACATTATTTTTCAATAATAATTATTTTTATAATAATATAATTGAAAATATTATTCTTAACTCAAAACTCATTTTAGTTGGCTATCGAAAAATATAAAGAATTCTTTAGCTAGTGAATTTCTTTTACTCCATTTTGATATTTGACATTAACCATGTTAAATAATTGAGTTATTTGAATTATATGTAAATAATCTTAACATCTAAACCTTCTAAATAATTATAGATAATCGTCAGATATTAATTAAGAAACACTACATGAAAAAAGACTAACATTTTCTCAATTCTCATAGTGATAATTTTATTTTTGCATTATTCTCATAGGTGCCATTGGAACCTAAATATAGCCACAAAGTGAAATAATAACTCATATTTATGGCAAAGCACAAAGGTTGACACGATATAAACGATTCTTTGATTACGACGTGACTCTTATACTACGACTTGAACTCTTATTTGGTATGATTTTATCTTTCAAAAAATATTTCTATTTTGAAATTTCAATTTCTAAAACTTTATATATATTATAATAATGATTATCTTTATAATGATGCAAGTGAATATATTATCCTTAATTTAAAATTTACTTTAATCGGCTATCTAAAAATTGAAATGATTCTTTGACCGGATTTATTTCAGTATGATTCCACTTTAAGCTTGTCGATATCTCTAGCCCCAGAATTTGAATTTTTAATACCCTATATATACAAAAATTTTGTTCTTTGAATCATTAAATGCTAAATTAGTTGATTATTAGTATAAAACATTGCATATATAGTCTTAAAATTGTCAAGTAGTTTATTTTTCGGCACCATACTTAGCTTAACCTCAATGTAAACTACTCAAATTGCATTCCAATTCAAATTCGAATATCATATCAATTTGTTAGTAATAGTGATTTTTTAAAAATGACACATAGTGTAAATTAAAAAAAATATTCGAAGATATCCTTATCTTAATCTATGTATTTGAGTTGAAAAAAATATTTGAAATCGATGAGATTAACTGTCACGACCCGAATTTTCTGCCCACGGGAGTCGTGATGACGCCTACTAGTGAAAGCTAGGCAAGCCAACCATTTGAATTATTTACCTTTTTCCCATTTTTATCCTTCAACAATTAATAGCCAATATTAAATAAACAACAAAATTTAATAAGCGAAAGACTCAAATGTAATATTTTAATAAAGATGTTAATACCAATCCATACACAAACTACCCAGAACTGGTGTCACAATTTCACAGACGGTCTAAGGATACTACAAATAGAGGTCCGAAAGATTTATTACAACATTGTCTATGAAATATATAAAAGAAATCGAATAAAAGGATAGGAGGAGACGTCAAAGCCTGCGGACGCCTACAGGACTACCTCGGATCTCCGAATGGACTGAAGGCAGCAACCCAAAGCTACGGTCCGAAAGCTGTTGCACCAGGATCTGCACACAGTGCAGAGTGTAATATTAACACAACCGACCCTATGTGCTGGTAAGTGCCTAACCTAACCTAGGCGAAGTAGTGACGAGGCTAGGACCAGATTACCAAATAAACCTGTGCAGTTAAATCATATATATAGCGGAAAATAAGGCAAACCTGTACAATTAAAGATAGGAGGGGAAATCATGCTACGGGCATATAACCAGTAACAACTGAAAACAACAGTTAAATGTAAAGAACATCATAACCCAATTATCAGTAAAAGTCAGGAAATCAAAGACAAGTACACGACATCACCCTTCGTGTTTTTACTCTCGTCCTCACAACAAAATCAATATAAATGGCACAGTATCACCCTTCATGCTTTACCTCACATAATTATGACACGGAATGATCCTTCGTGCATTATCACTCATATAAAGGCACGGAATGGTACATCGTGCGGCACGACATCACCCTTCGTGCATTAACACTCTCTCACAAATATCATACACGGCATCACCCTTCGTGCTTTAACACTCTCTCACCAAAACAATGCACGGCATCACCCTTTATTCTTTAACACTCTTCATCACCCAAACAACAATCACAAAGCAATAAGGGCAAGGGAAATAACAAGTTTGCAGTTAAATCCCGGCAAGGGAACAATAGCACAACAATTATATCCCGGCAAGGGAAAATAGTATCAAACAATAACATCCCAGCAAGGGAGACAATATTAAACAACAACATCCCGGAAAGGGAGACAAGATCATAATCCTCTTTTCCTTT